AGCCATTTTCCGTACTGAATATACAGGGTGGCCCACGGTCGATGGTGCCTTAGACGTATACGGAAAACGGTACAATGCTTACATGTCCCTATCTTAACTTTTGATTCACTATCTACTGATATTTGATTGGAACAGATACAGGGTGATCAAAATTCTGAATCTTGGACCATCCTGTATTTCTTCGAATTAAATGTCGGTAGATAGTTAATCAAAAGTTAATATAGGGACATGTAAGCCGTTTTGACCAATGATGAATAGTTTCGACAAAAAAAAAACCCTAAAGTTGAAAAATCTCGATTTTGAACACCCTATATCTCTGTAATAATTCCTGCTAGACACCAAGTGTGATGCATTGATGAAATCAGCTCTTCGAGAAGAATCTAAGAACATACAGGGTGTTCCATTCGAAATAACAAAGATGATGCTACTTTTTGGTGAAAGTGGCAACGCTGCTTCGCTGAAAATATTTCGAATAGTCAGATCACAAACGCTTATTAGAGTAACCAAATTTTCAGGATAATCCAATGTACCGTTTTCCGTATACGTCTGAGGTACTATCGACCGTGGGCCACCCTGTATGTGCGGGGTCCTTCAGAACTGAAAAGGTTCCAGGAAAAATATGAATAGCTTGTATATTAGGCGTCCTGATTCCAAATCCGTAGTGATTTTCAATTTATTTCGACTCCTAATATCATTTTCCGGAAATTGGGGTGGTTTCATGGCTTTTGGCGACCAGTGTACAGGGTATGTCACGACGAGCTTACACTATCTCTACAGTGTCATTCATAAAGTCGGCATCATATGGGAAAAACTTTTATTAATGACTCATTTTGGAATTCGAGTTGGACGTTGAGTTTTGCTTCAAAAAAGATGAAAAATGGCCTACTCAATCAGGGTCACGTGACTTTCGTTACATGTTAAAAGTGACATTTTTTCAAATTAACCGCTGAAAGTAGTATTATTCGTTCGAATATCGAAAAAGTTTACTTGAAAAAGTTGTTTCCATTTCAATTTCACACATGCTTCTCGAATTTGATCTTTCTATTGCAACTTTTAGATTTCGATTTTTTTTAAATTTTCGAAATTTCTGTAATATTTGGAGAATTGTTAATTCCACGAAACTACTTCATACCAGTAGCTTTTCCATGCTACTAACTTTGAATTACTTATTATAACTGATTATGGACATAAATATGATTTTCTTCAGAAAATGATAATACCCGCTTCCAAATTCTGTTGTTTGATGCAAAGTTGATATATCGTCAAGCATTCAGAAACAAAATCCATTCAAACTGATCTTTTCAGTACTGGAAAAATAAATTCAAATGAATTTCGTTTCTAAATGCTCGATTCGAACATAACAGAATTTTGATGTTATGTTTGCATCAAACATAACAGAATTTTGAAGCGGAGATTTTCATTTTCTGAAGAAAATCATATTTCAGTCGATAATTAGTGATAATTAGTAATTGAAAGTTAGTAGCATGATGAAACTACTGGTATGAAGTAGTTTTATCGAATTAAAATTTTTTTTAATATTACAGAAATTTCGAAAATTTTAAAAAAATCGATATCTAAAAAATGTAATAGAAAGATAAAATCCGAGCCACATATGTAAAATTCAAATAGAAATAACTTTTTCAAGTACAATTTTTCGATATTCGAACAAATAAGCCTACTTTCAGCGATTAATTTGAAAAAATGTCACTTTTGACATGTAACGAAAGTCACGTGACCCCGTTTGAGTAGACCATTCTTCATCTTTTTCGAAGCAAAACTTAACGTCCAACTCGAATTTCAAAATAAGTCATTACTAAAAGTGTTTCCCATATGATGCTGACTTTATGAATGACACTGTATATCAAGAATCAGTCGGGAGAAATCCATGAAAATATGCATGCTCATATTTTAGAATACGTTCTCTTCATTTAAAATATTTTCAGCAATGCAGTGTTGCCGCTTCTATCAAAAAGTAGCAACAACTTTGTTATTTCAAACAGAATACCCTGTATTTTATTGCATTTTTAGATTCTCCCTGAATAGCCGTATTCATCGATACATCACACTTGGGGTCTATCGGAAATGATTACAGAGATATAGGGTGTTCAAAATCGAGATTTTTCAACTTTAGGATTTGTTTGTGTCGAAACTATTCATTATCGACCAAAACGGCTCACATCTCCCTATCTCAACTTTTGATTCACTATTCACTGATATTTAATCGGAACAGATACAGGGTGATCAGAATTCTGAATCTTGAACCACCCTGTATCTGTTCCGATTTAATATCAGTGAATAGTGAATCAAACGTTGAGATAGGGACATGTGAGCCGTTTTGACCAATAATGAATAGTTTCAACACAAACAAATCCTAAAGTTGAAAAATCTCGATTTTGAACACCCTATATCTCTGTTATCATTTTCGATAGACCCCATGTATGATATATCGATGAAATCAGTTCTTCAGGGAGAATATAAAAATGCGATAAAATACAGGGTGTTTCATTTGAAATATCAATGTTACTACTACTTTCTAGTAGAAGCGGCAACACTGCATTGTCGAAAATATTTTAAATGAGGAGAGCGTATTCTGAAATATAAGCATGCACATTTTCATGGATTTCTCCCGACTGATTCTCGATATAAAGATAGTGTAAGCTCGTCGTGACATACCCTGTATATCACTGAAGATGACCCCACTTTGTCAGAGTGCATTTTTGGTATATCTCCCGCTCCCAGCAAATTTCACGATCCTTACCCAACGAATACGTAAGATACAGGGGTGTTTCCATTAGAAGTGATATACAACTGTATATGAAATTCAACTAAAAATATGATTTTCTTGAGATTTATCCATATTTCGTGGAAATGAGGAGGAATATAATTTACAATAATGACGTGTGTCATCCATAGGCAATCTGTTGACATTTGACATCTCATATTTGGATTGATTATTGATTAAATCGCCGTCATCTGATATGATTGTTCACTTAAATATTAACAACCTGCCATAAAAATCATATTTTATGTTGAATTTTCTATATAGAAATGTTTCGTTGAAGTACATCATGAGTGTCCAATGACAAAATAAGAAGAGCAAGTAGCTGTGAATGCATCCACGACAGGGGGAAAAGAGAAGGCGAAATTTCGAACTTTTTCTTGAAATATCTCGATAAATAGTGGTTTGTTCACATTTTCATTATCAAATTCTTGTTTTTCAGACAAAATTATGTAGGTAACAAGAATTTCTTTTCGAAAAAAACCCATCGCAAAATTACCTGCACATCTACCAAATATTGATGTATCATTACCTACTTTGGATACATGGGGACCAATGAATGCTAGATCATCGTTAATGTCGTCTTATCTCCTCGAGGAACATCCTGTATATGTATACTTGTATTAAGAAATATTCCCACCGTTCATTTGAGTGAAGGAGGAAAACAAAAAAGATCGACAAAAACTCAAACTGACAAAAACTTCGCAAATGTCATTCCTCTTGACATTTTTTACTGCCTGTTTCTGAAGATATTCGGACGATCACGATTCCTGTGAGAAAAACCTGTATTTATTATTTGCTTCACACAAGCATATCCACCCATCTTCTTATTCATCAGACACGTATTTCACCTACTGTGATATACTGAGTATATGAGTGTGAGTTATTAGTGATTTTGTGTTCCGTTCGGTTCAAAAGTATACAATGGCTAATTTCCAAATACATGAAGACGTCGAAAATGATTATCCGCATGTAGCAGCCAAAAAACTCCTTACCGCCCATGCTGAAGGAAACAAACATGGACAGAAGAAACATTTCTTAGAAAACAGAGAAACACTTCGGATGATTGAAAATGGAACACGGGTTGATGGTAAAAAAGTGAAGTTGTGGAAGAATGATAATGAAAAAGAAATAATAAAGCAGGTGAGATTATATTCGATATTTCACAGAAATTATGGTGTTCTATTGATGATTCGTTCAATGAAATGTACTCCCTTGTGAATAATCAACCACTAGAGCGAATGATTTAGTGATTCATTATATTATTTCTGAAGTGTCTCTAGCTGTTTATCACAAAATTGAATTTCTCATTGGCAACAAAGTATCAAATTGCATATTTTTGCTACCACAAACTATTTCTAGCGAAAATCACGAATCTATGTAAGGGTGATTTGCATGGTTGAAATATAGGGAATTCCGCAAAAAACGCATTTGTCACTGACATGATGTGCTGCGGTGAAACTGCATTTATCATGCGATGGGTTTTTTTCGAAAAATTTTTTGGTACTTACGTATTTTTGTCTGAAAAACGCGATTAATGATGAAAATGTGAACAAACCACTATTTATCAAGATATTTCAAGAAGAAGTTCCAAATTTCGCCTTCTTTCTCCCCTTGTGTTGAATGCCTTCACTTTATATACTCATGATGTACAGTCGTATTGAAAAAAAAAGCGTATACAAGTATATTGGAGGGAAAAAATAACGTCATCCTATTTGCGTAAAACGGGTTATCGGGAATGAATGTTTACCAAATGTTGACAGTAGAGTAATCATAGGTTCCCAAAAACACAAAGCATTGGCTGAGACAATTTTACACAACGAGCACTAGAATGCCGAAATCTTCTATGTTCAATACTTGTACGCTTTTTTATTGAATACGACTGTACTTCAATGACCCATTATTATATAAAAAAAACAAAAGGAAATATGATTCATATGGCGAGATTTTCATATTTAGTGAAGAAGCATTACCAGATATGACGGCCATTCAATCAATAGTCAATCCGAAATCCAAAAACGAGATGTCAAATGTCAATAGATTTCTTTAGAATGACATTACACACGCCATTATTATAAATGATATTCATCCTTCTTTTCACTGAATATGGATAAATCTCAAGAAAATTATATTTCTAGCTGACTCATATAATAGAAAAAATGTGTCATACATTGTGATATACAGTGTGTTCACCTTAAGGACTTACCACCCCTGTAAAATCGTTATTATCCGAGAGAGTGTGATCTAATTCTTGGACTGTTATCGTGGCCAACTGCGACAAATTTTAATGACCCATATTCCAGAAAGTACTATTAGGGATTTTTTTCCACGGAACTTGATGATGGATTCTGAATCAGTACCATTTGAAATATACCTGTACCGATTTTCATCATCATAAAACACATGGTGTCCGAAAAAACGAATCATCATTTTCTTCAAATAGGTGATCAGCAAATGTAGTTCTGTGGTTTTTCTAGAAAGAAATAATCACAAATTATCATTGAGGATAATTTCAAATATACCTGTACCAATTTTCGTCATTTGAATATACAATGTGTCTGAGAAAAAATTAGAAGGATAGGTAAGCAATATTTTTCATTCTGATTATTATTCACTCAGAATAAAAAGATGAATCAGGATCACTTGGAACATACCTGTACCGATTTTCATCATCATTAAACATAGGGTGTTCGAAAAATCAAATTAATATATTTTTTGAGTTGATGAAGAAATATTGCCTACTTTTTCTTTTTAATTGTTTTCTCATACACATCGTATTTTTGAATGATGAAAATCGGTACAGATATGTTCAAAGTGATCCTCAATGATGATGTGTCATCAATTCTTTTCAAAAATACCACAATACTACATTTTCTGATCACCTATTAAACAAAACATAATTCGTTTTTTTCGGACACCCTAGTAAAGGTGTTTTTCAAGTGATCGTGATTCAGAATCCTTCATTGTTTTTTGTGAAAAAAAATCCCTAATAGTACTTTCTCAAATATGGGTCAATAAAGTTGGTCGCAGTTGGCCACGATTACAGTTCATAAGTAAAATCACTCTCTTGTTGGATGGACATTTCAAATACCTATCCAACAAGAAAAAGTTTTTGAAATCGGTCAGATAATAACAATTTTACAGGGGTGGTAAGTCCTCAAGGTGGACACACTGTATATAAATTGTCCAATGATGAAAAAAGAAGGGCAAATTGTTCTAAATGCTATCCAGAAGACAGGCGAAGAAGAAGGCGAAATTTGTAACTTCATAGTCGAATTGATAAATAAATAATGGTTTGTTCACATTTTCATTATCAAATTCGTATTTTTCAGACAAAAATTCGTAGGTTCCAAAAAATACCCATCGCATGATGAATGTAGTTTTACCTGTGCTGCTTCTTAAGGCCGATTCATGCAACAGTCATAAGTGCATTTTCATGACATTATAAATTGAGAATGTCAAAAACTCATATTTCATGGAATGATTTCATGCAACACATTAATATATTCTCATTACATTTTCATCACATTAGTGCACTAAGAAGTTGACCAACTTTCAACTATACATATTATAGTTCTAGTGAAAACGACTGAAAGCAAGATTATAGATCATTGAATGCCCATTTTTATCACAAAAACTATTCGTGATTCTCCTCAGATATTATATTCTGAATAAACACATATCCTTAAATAACCTGTGAACATTTGGAGAATCCAAGCAAATCACATAACCTCGAATAATTAGTTCATAGGTCGCGTGCACGAAGACCGACCCTGGAGGCAAAATAATTGGCAAAATATCGAAACACAACCTCATTCTTCTGTGAATTATTGAAACACAACCTCATTCTTCTGTGAATTATTGAAACACAACCTCACTTTTTCATTTGGTTACAGAGGAATCAAAAGGTTGAAATAGTTTTTCACAATATTTTGGCATACGAATCGTGTTTCTTGCGTTATTCATTAATTCAAGCATGCCTTCGCATTGTGCTGTTGTACAATGCACAAAAAATGCAGCAAGAGACTAGGGAATATGATTTTTCAGGTAAATAGTAATCTCACATAGTTAGCATTATGAAATGTTGTCATTCCTTATTAAAATTCCTTCTGCCTTCTGCCACTTCTGCAATTCAAGCTAATGCTGCTAATAGATTGAAAATGTCTACAACACACACGATCGTCAGCATGTCAGACCAGTCCTACCGATTGATTGCATGAATCCAATCTTCTTGCATTATTCTAGAAATTTCAGGTATATTTCTATTAGCTGATCCTATTGCAGGAGGAATTCCGATGAGAAATCAGAGAAATAACCAAATTTCAAAAATGAAAACTATGTGAGTGACTATAGTAGGTACTTACTTTTGAATCATAATGTACCATCCGGATTTCTTCATCTTTTGCTGCAGTTTTTGTGCATTTTACAACAGCACAATGTGAGGCATTAGCGAATTGATGAATAGCGGAAAAATACGATTCATATGCCAAAATAATTGTGGAAAACTATCTCGATCACTTGTAAACAAATATGTTTTGCCTCCAGGGTCGGTCATCTGACAGTTCTTGCACGCGACCTATTAGGAGCATAAATTCTGCATGAACGGGTATTTTGCTTCAGGCTTCATGAGAATTCAATCGAATTTGGATTTCTTGGAATTATTCCAAAGGTAAAGAACTGTAGTACATGATGGAACATTTGAAAATCCAATAATTGAAAGAAACAAAATGGTGGAGAATCCAGAAATTTTGTGATTTTCAAAAATCTCTGACGAATAAAAAAATGTTTATTCTTCCAATCAGGACCGATACAATTTTAGATCATTGATTTCTGAAAAGAATGAGCACTCAAACATCTGAATCGAACAATTAGTCCAGAAGAAACACGTTCTTTTTGGCAATGTGTTATATGGAGTGAAATCCAAATTCGATTGAATTCTGATAAAGCCAGAAGCAAACTAAAGGTAATTCTTATCACGGGATTGACACATTCACTCCATATTTCTTTGCCAAAAAGAACGTGTTTCTCCTGGACTAATTGTTCGATTCAGATGTTCGAGTGCTCATTCTTCTTAGAAATCAATGATCTGAAATTGTATCGGTCCTGATTGGAAGAATAAACATTTTTTTATTCGCCAGAGATTTTTGAAAATCACAAAAATTCTGGATTCTCCACCATTTTGTTTCTTTCAATTATTGGATTTTCAAATGTTCCATTATGTACTACAGTTCTTTATCTTTGAAATAACTCTAAGAAATCCAAATTCGATTGAATTTTCATGAAGCCTGAAGCAAAATAATAATAATCGAGATTCGCACATTCACTCCATAACAAATTGCGAAGAAATGAGTGGATCTACTGGACTATTTGTTCGATTTCGATGTTCGAGTACTCATTCTCTTCAGAAATGAATAGCCTAAGATGACATCGGTACAGGTTGGAAAAAATCTGATTTTATTTTTTTCCAGCGGTTTTTGTAAATGACATTACTTTGGTAAAATCCGCCATGTTGTTTTTGTTCATAATGCAATGGTAGTCACCTAAAAATACCAAACCACAAAACCACGAAATTCCAAAATTCTCCTCTCTACAAAGCACTGAGTTTCTACAACAAACTGCCAACGGAAATTGAAAAGTCTGAATGTGATAGATTATTTTTTAACAAAATAAAATGTTTGCTGACTGACAAATGTTACTATTGCTATCAAGGAATATTTGGATGATCCATTATTGTGAATTATTTTACTTGTAGTGTGCTGTCATCCTATTCCGTAATACAACTTCAATTCAATGATTTTAATTAGTATGATGCAAATGTATGGAATAAATTCATTATTTCAGAAATGGGCGACATTTGAAAAAATTCCAAAAACACGTGAGGTTTCATTTTCGAAGCCTCATCTCATGATATCCATATGAGACATGTTACGTCACCGGTGTTGAAGTAATGACGTAATGAACGATTTTTTCAAATGAAAACAGGGGTCATGTGACACCTCGTTTGAAAGGTCTACTGATCGTCTATTCAACAGTCAAAATTTTGCATAAGAAAATTGAAATCAAAATGGATTATCTTGATTAACTGAATCTTGCAGAGGTCTACTACTGAGAATTGAACAACCAAGGGTCGTCTATTTAAAAAA